ATGATATGATGAATGATGATGAATGATATGATGAATGATGGTGATGATGATGAATGATAATGAATGATAATGATGATGAATGATAATGATATGATGAATGATATGATGATGAATGATGGTGATGATGATGATGATGAATGATAATGAATGATAATGATGATGAATGATAATGATATGATGAATGATATGATGATGAATGATGGTGATGATGAATGATAATGATGATGAAGATGAATGATGGTGGTGATGATCATGATGATGACAATGCTAAAGGTGTTGATAATGGTAGTTTTGATGATGATGATGATTGTGTTGATGTTGTTGTTGATAATAGTAGTATTGATGTCGAAGATAATGATGGCAATGCTTTTCATAGATATGGCAACAAAGTCACTAAGATATGTCATCCAAATGTAATAACACAGAGCATTAATTCCTACCATCTTTCAGTGCCGGAGAAACAAGAGCGACAAAACAGATAAAGATCACGCAGAGTACATCAAGTCTGTATCCAAGCCAGGCTGAAGATGATATGAATGTCATCCACGCACGTGTGTGCTCATCTTGGTAGAAGTTCATCTGGTCTGTGAATGTTTGTTCAACACTGAATGCACGAATAGTGTCCAGACCCAGAAGTGTGGTCGAGAAGTGACCAAAGACTGGACTACGACCTGGAAATTTAGATAAAATACGGTCAAAATATTATTAGAGACCAAAAATGGTTCAAGAAAAACAGAGCATTATAAAATAACTGTTCTAAATCACTCTCGCGTTATGATCGGTTGGTAGCGCGTGTTTATGAGAGCACACAGCACGCACGCGCACTTTCAGTTTCGTCATTCATGTAATTTGTATTTTATAAAAGAAATAAAAAACTTGCTTGCTGTGCTGTGTTCAGTATAAAGCACTTGGGGGTTGGCAGAACACTAGAGAAGTGTCAGGAAGCACTCCGCTACACGTCGTGCTTCTCCAAACACTTTTCTCGTGTTCTGCCAACCCCGCATGCTTTATGACAGCACACAGCACGCGTGTGCGTTTTCTATTTCTTCATTTATAAGAGTAAAAGCCACTGAACTAAATGAGATTTAGCAGCATAGCAGTAGTTGGACAAAGTGGCTCTTCTAATGAATATAAAACTTGACTTTCACAGAGGGGAGGGTGGAAAACGCATAGTGTACACAATAATTATGACTGTATACTTACTGACACCCTCGATTCGTTTGACTTCTCTAGACGTCTTCATGTAGTACTGTCTCAGGTACCAGAACAGACAGACTATAGGAATGACGACTACAAAGGTGATAGGATTGTTGACAGCTACAAGTAGAAGGATGCCGAGTACCATCATGGATGTCTGGGGAGAACAAAAAGATGGGTTAACAAGTATTGGGGTTTGCCGTGTGGTGTGGTGTAATGCAGTATGGTGTAATATGGTGTGGTGCTGTGTGAAGTGGTGTTGTGTGTAGAAGAGTGGTGGTGTGGTGTTGTGTGAAGTGGTGTGGTGTGGTGTAATAAGGTGTGGTGCTGTGTGAAGTGGTGTTGTGTGTAGAAGTGTGGTGGCGTGGTGTTGTGTGAAGTGGTGTGGTGTGGTGTAGTGTAATGTGGTGTTGTGGGACGTGGTGTTGCGTGTAGAAGTGTGATGGTGTGGTGTTGTGTTGTGTGGTGTGGTGTAATAAGGTGTTGTGTGGTGTTGTGTGAAGTGGTGTGGTGTAATAAGGTGTTGTGTAATGTGGTGTGGTGTAATGTGGTGTGGTGTTGTGGGACGTGGTGGTGTGGTGTTGTGTGGTGTGGTGTGGTGTANTGGTGTGGTGTGGTGTAGTGTAATGTGGTGTTGTGGGACGTGGTGTTGCGTGTAGAAGTGTGATGGTGTGGTGTTGTGTGGTGTGGTGTGGTGTAATAAGGTGTTGTGTGGTGTTGTGTGAAGTGGTGTGGTGTGGTGTGGTGTGACGTGGTGTTGCTTGTAGAAGTGTGGTGGTGTGGTGTTGTGTGAAGTGGTGTGGTGTTGTGTGAAGTGGTGTTGTGTGTAGAAGTGTGGTGGCGTGGTGTTGTGTGAAGTGGTGTGGTGTGGTGTAATGTGGTGTGGTGTAATGTGGTGTGGTGTAATGTGGTGTGGTGTAATGTGGTGTGGTGTAATGTGGTGTGGTGTTGTGGGACGTGGTGTTGCGTGTAGAAGTGTGGTGGTGTGGTGTTGTGTGGTGTGGTCTAATAAGGTGTTGTGAGGTTTTGTGTGAAGTGGTGTGGTGTGGTGTGGTGTGGTATAATGAGGTGTTGTGTGAAGTGAAGTTATCGATGTGACATGAAGTAAAACGATGTGATGAGGTGTGATTTGAAGCGATGTGACGTGAAGTGATTTGAAGAAAGCTGATGTAAGGATGTGTGGTATGATATAATGCGAAGTAATGTGTTGTGGTTTCATGTATTGTTATTTGAAGTAATGTGATGTGAAGTGATGTGGTGTGAAGTGAAGTGAAGTAAAATGACGGTGTGTGGTGTGATAGGGTGTGGGATGATGTGGTGTGGTACGTTTACTGTTGCAAGTTTAGGTGTGTGTTCTTATGATAGTGTTGGGTGAGTTCAGGTGTACTAGGATGAGTTGAGCTTTATCCGCTGCATAAGTGCGCATTTGGAAAAAATAAATTGATATCTGTGCACTATAAATTAATGAATTATTAGAAGCTTTTTTGCTGACGTGTGTTGCAGTAACGTGTTGATGTAACGTGTTGTTCAAATCTTTAACTTACCTGAGAAAAATCGCAGACAACAAATGGCATCATGTCATCTATGAAACCCATGTCCTTAGAAAAACGATTGAGGATACGACCTAACAAAATATACAAAGTTGCTAGAACATTACTTCCAGAATTATGATAAGATGATAAATACAACACAAGCGACATACGATAAAAGATACACGAAAATCAACATATTACACAGAGTATTCGATATCTATATACTGCAGATACACCTACTAGTCTTTCAAAATGAGGATACGATGAGGCACAAGTGACTTACGATAAAAGAAACACGACAGCCATACGAAATACGACGTCTATATGTGTACCAGAATGAACTATACATACCAATAGAGTTGGTATCGAAAAAGTAAGACGGTGCCCTCATCAAACTACTGAACATATTGAAGTGGAGGATACGAGAGCCACTGATGGTAATCCTGTAGAACAACTGAGTCCTCAACATAGAGAAAACTATCAGGCCAATCGCTAAGAAGCTGTAGATACCGAGATAGAGGTGTCTGTCGAGGGGAGTCGGTGGAGGAATGGACGTTGAGTTACTGGTGCTGTAAGCCTGGGACTTGATGAAATACTGCTCTTCCTCGTTGCACCTAGGAGAGAACATTATTGAAATTGTAATAAGAATTTAGAAACATTGCCAGGGTTAAAGTAAACAATGATAGTAGAATGATTTGGTGGAGAAAGTATAGTGAAGATAAGAGTAGCGCAGAATAGCAAGACAATGCTTAGCAAAGAAAATCGGCCAAAGCAAAGCAGAGCAGGGCAGGGCAGGGCAGGGCAGGGCAGGGCAGGGCATTTGACAATACATATTAAACACTAACCATTTTGATAACCACCAATCAGAAAGCATGTACATGGCCTAGAACAACGACAAAGACAATCAATTCGCAGATCAATTAGCAAATCTACTTGCATATGATGGCGGGTCCAGGAATGCAATCCAGGTCACACTGGTGAGACGTGACGCATTTGCACCACACAGTAATGCAATATCTTCGATACTTTGTAACTAACAGACCTCCTTGGCTTGGGCGTACTGTTTCCCAATTAAGACCACGTGTCATTCCCTAGAGTATCCTTTCTTTGTTTAATGTTGTACATGAGAAGACACATGAATATGGATACAACTCAAACAAATGGTCTTACATTACGCCCGAACTAACTAATAGAGGTTCATAGAAAATCTAAAAATATGTAGAGATGGTTGACAAAGAAAGTGTCACCTACCTGGGTTATTAAGAAGAGAATAAAGATACAAATAGCTGCTCCTAAGCTATGGAGGGATTTAAAGTAGCGCAGGTAGGTCTGCATGGTGACTGCCCCTTCTTGCTTCATCTCCTTGGGAACCAAATCTTCGTCCTGGAATAAAGTTAAAAACCACTGAATTACGTTATTCACACTCGTGACACGTCTTTCTTCACTACTGTTAGAAGAAGAGCTGCACTGAGTCACGTTATTCACACTCGTGACACGTCTTTCTTCNCACTACTGTTAGAAGAAGAGCTGCACTGAGTCACGTTATTCACACTCGTGACACGTCTTTCTTCACTACTGTTAGAAGAAGAGCTGCACTGAGTCTGTGTATGTTACTGATGCTCATACTTGTGTTATAGATTCGGTTGTGCAGTGCTCATTAACAGCAGTTGTCTTTCCTCACACCTGTGAAATAAGAGCTGCACTGAGTCTGTATATGTTGCTGATGCTTATACTTGCGTTGTATACTCAATTGTGCATTACTCATTAAGAGCATTTCCCACGCCTTGAGTTTTCTTATACCATTCCATTCTTCGATTGCACGTTACGTCATGGCGGCCATGATGGTGTCATTTAACAAAAGATTTCTCATTAGCATCCATTGTTAACGGCACCACAATGGCCGCCATGCTTTTGTCTTTTAACTCTCTTGGGAATGCTTGCAACCCATCAATACACCATAGACCCCTTGCAGCACTTTGGAATGCAACTCCATCTGGCGGGACATAACAATAGGTTCCAATTCTCAGGAGATTGGAATTCTTTTGTTTTCTCCCCCAGATGAATCTGCTTTGACGTCACATGCAAGGGGTCTTACTCAAGTGGTAGATCCTTTCCAATTTTGAACACTCACATAAACAGAGACTTCAGTAGCAGCTGATGTAACAGACAACGTGCTCTCCAGACGTTGACTCAGACGATGGCTTAGATGACAAGATGAACCTCGAACCACCTCGACCTTATCAGTGGGTGGGATGCTGTCCTGTCTGCTGAACTGACGGCTCAGATTCAACCTTCGGCTGAACTGACGCTTGAATTCAGGTCTGGCGTTGATATCTTCAACACTATCTTCGATGGCAGAGTCTTTGTCTTCGTCTTCTTCGGCACAGAGGGTCATGAAGTCGATGCCAGCCCGACAAAGGTCCTGGTAGCTTCCCTTAGCGATACACTCGCCCTATGGGGAGAGAGGAGTGAAATGATAGGTCAGTAAATAACAAGTAGATTTTGTAGGACTTCGTAGCACGCGGCACAGGGCACGGGAAATGATGATATGACTGTGTGTCTTTCCATATTGCCAAGCGGTGTATGCCACAGCACTTACTTACAGCTTCGATCATTAGAAATTAAGAGCAGTATCTTATTGCCTTTTGATATCTTTTATCGAACCCTGTCAAACTCAGGGTCGTTCATAAGCTACTCTATATATTTTATCAGCTTGTTTGTAGCTATTGTCTGTCTGTCTATCTGTCTGCCTGTCTGTCTGTTTTATGACAGAATCATTTCAGAATAAAGCTAACGATAAACAAAAAAATTGTAACAGTAAAATAATAAAAAAATGTCGCGTTCTGATAGTATACTCAGGAGCAAATAAATGTACTTGCCACGATACAACGCGAGCTCTGATTTGTTAATTAGCGCGGAAAACGTGCATCCAAAAATTGCCTCGTGCGACTTTGTGCTTCCTTCATGCTTAGCAGCCTCCAGCGTCTACCCTATAGATGGAAGCACCCAAGACTCGATGAAAGCGCCGCTAATCAATGACCAATCCTTGAATATCTTTACCTCAGATAAAGCAATGAGAACGTCAGCATCTTTCAAGAACTGAGTCTGATGAGTAACCAAGATACGAGGCTTTTGAGCCAAATAACCGCAAACACACCTGAAAGACATTAAAAAAACATCCTGATGCGCCTTCTGTCTGTCTGTCTGAAACGGGTAGTGTAACGGCAAAATGTTCACCTTTCACTACTGTGAGTCCAATGGCTCGGTCGTGGGTTCGAGTACTGCGGAAGCCCTTGTGAATAAAATTTGTTGGAAGTGTTGTTCTCCCCCTTATTTTTCTACTTTTACATTAGTCTTCCTCCTTCCGTAAATACCAATATTTTTTACTAAATAAGCAAGGTTATGGGGGAGGGATGAGATAGTGATACGCGAAGCTTAGCGACTTCAATATTTTACTATCAATAAAACACACAAGCCTTATTCTTTACATCCCCCGTCAGTCAAAGTTGTTCTAGGGGACCAGTCATTATTGAAGTCGGAGGGGGGGGATGGAGGAGATAATATTTTTGATGCAAGACATTTTGCAGACCCCAACCTAATAGTATTCATGTTTTTCAGGTACCCCCTTCAATCGTTAAAAAAATCCTCCCAATCCTCCTTTTGACCTTTCAAGGCCCCCATGTTCCACTACAAAAAATTTGAGCCCTCCTCCCTCCCCCCCCCCCCATGTTCTTCTCCATCCCCCCCCGACTTAAATAATGAGTGGTCCCTAGGTAGCTCATCGTGTTGTCGATGAAGGCGTAGTTGGATGAGGAAGATTGGGGTTGTTATTGTGGTGGAATGCAGTTGATGATAATGATGACAATGAAGGTAAAGATGCGATGACAACGATGATAATAACATTTTCTTACTTATCAAACAAGTGTCGTCCAACATTAGCATCTACAGCACTCAGAGGATCGTCTAGCAAATAAATATCTGCATCGCAATACACCGCTCTGTTGACAAAAACAAATGAAAAGGTTGATACAAAATACAACTGTTTTGAAGTTTTGAAACAACTTAAACACAGTGAAATTATTAAGTGTTGGAGGACGTCAATCAGAACTGAGAGTTAAGTTTGCGGCGCTCGTGTGAACCAGGTTTAATTAAAGTTTTAAGTCATGATTCTCAGCACGACGTTTGCCAAAAAGTTAATTGAAGTCGGTGAACCTGCCAAGTACCTGTAAAAAATGCCATTATATGAATAAATTAAAGCAGGTTGTAACTTGGGGGAATTCCCCGCCAAAACCTTCGTTTTCTTCATCTAGTCTTTGTTTTTGTTTCGGCCCTCATAGTTATCAGGCCGAAACGTTACTGTATTCAGTTGGCCAACCCATAATATTTCTCGTTTGTGTCAAGTAGCTGTCATAGTTTTAGACCTTTTCTGTAGCTGCACATCGTTTGAAAATTGTTTCACTTTCTCATAAATGACTTTGCATTCAGTTAGACTTCATCTGGTTTTATGGTTTTATCTTCGTGTTGGATGAAAACTTTACAAGTTATGTGACCTCCAGTTCGTATCTTAAACTATAAAGATAGATGTCTAAATTCATCGGTTTTCTAATACTAGTAAAATACTTTAATTCAATAGTAACACTTTACAAGAAAGTACATCATACTAGAAGTAATAATAAGCAAATAAGAAATTGGGGTGACCGACTTCGTTTAGCCGTCGGAATGTTCCTCGAATTCTAAGATAAAAATATGATGACTACTTAACGGGCCGAAACATTATTGCTTTTAAAGCAATATAGGCTTGCAAAAAGCAAAATGGCTGTCGAATCCACAAGAAAAATGCTTACTTGCACAAACATCACATTAAAGACTCGCTAAACTTCATTTCCGATCGTATCGGCGTTTTGCACCGTTTTAGTTGGGACGCTATGAAAAACCCGCTATGAAAATTCAAGTATGGACGCGGAGATTTATATGCGTTTTCGGTGAGACGAAAACGTAGCATTTAGAAAACGCATCATTTTCATGAGCTGTCGGACGAGAGAAGGGCCTAAATCTATTCGGCCTATTAGTTAACGAGCCGAAACATTGCTTTTAAAGCATTATAAGCTTGTAAAAAGTAAGTTTGTTGCCGGATTCACAAGAAAAATGCTTACTTGCACATTTTTCTTGGATTACGTTATGGCGTCCCTTCCAGGATCCCGAAATCCCTGGATTCAAACTAGGGATTTGATTGGTGGACGTCTTTCATATACAGTATGAGATGAATGATATATCACCATTCTTCACTTCTGTAGAAGCTAGCAACTTGCACCATTTCTCGTGAAAAAAACAAGTGTTTTTTCAGCTAAGGTAAGAAACTTCAATTTCAAACACAATTCACAATCAGATTTGCAGTACAGGTTCCTGATATTTT